TCAAGTTCGATCCCCGGCCAGGGGGTGACCCCCAGGGTGCGGCAGACCTCTCCTGACCCACCCGCTGCTCCTCTCAGCAGTGGACTTCATCGATCTGCCTGTTCTGTTCCCCGCTCTGTCTCTGTGAAGCCTCTCACCGCCCCTGAGCCTCTGGCCTGTACCCCAGTTCTGTATGCACAAACAAATCAATCTTTAAAAATGAATAAATAAATAAAGTGGGGTTTTCGGATACATACGCACTGAGCACTGCAGTTCTTGTTCTCCAGATGTGTGTGCTTTCAGCCTCTGCAGCCTTCCGAGAGGGAAGCCGCCAAAGCCCCCAAAGACAGCCCGCGGTTGGGGCTGCCGCCCGCCCTCCCTCTGCGGAGGGGCCCTCCAGAAACCTCGCGCAGCAGTGTTTAGAGACGTCGCCTTGGCCACGTTGCTAGTGGGCGGATGAGCGGGGAGTGTGGCGTTCTAGCGGGGTCTCCGGATGTCGGGGAGATTTGGCTCCATCTCCAGGCGGGGCCCTCACCTCTGGAATTTGGGTCAGTTAGGGGCTCCTCACAGGAAAGCTGCGCTGCGCTGGGCCCGGGCCCGGGCCAGTCTGTCAGGAGGGCTGCTGGAGAGCGTCCCGGTGACGCCGACAGGGCAGGGCGGCCATGGCTGCTGGCCTCGGGCTTGGGGCCCTTGGAGCTGGCGCGTCCCAAGTGCAGACTTCCCTTTATGGGCCAGGCAGGACCTCTGACTACCGCTGCCTTGAGTCCTGCGCGACGCTGTCCCCTGGGGCTCCGGGTCCTGTAGCCCCGAGCCAGGCCCCTCTTCTAGCTCCCTGAGCCTGGCCCACCTGCAGCCTGGCGTCTAGGACCTGATACCATGGTGTGGGGCTGGAGTTGGTCAGGACGGGGAAGTCCCTGGGCTCAGCTGCTCTTCAGTGGCTCTTGGGGCGCCAGGCTTGGATCAGGGCGCTGGATCAACCCTCTGCGGAGGCCTGAGCTGGACGAGGAGGCAGACGGAGGGAGGGCTTGCAGCTGCCGATGCCAGGGCGGGTGTGGAGAGCAGCGGCCAGGCCGGCGATCCAGCAGGAAGAAGAGGGCTCTGCTCGGGGAGGGGGGGAAGGAAGGGACCCATGTGCCCAGCCTTAAAGGACGGCTAGGACTTGGCTGGAGGGGACGGTGAGGCCAAAGACTCCAGGTGGGGAGAGGCCCTCTCTTTGGGAGGGAGCTTGCTAGCGCTGGGGCTGGGGGCGGGGACTGAGTGGGGGGGGCTAGAGGCAGGACAGGCCCAGCTGGGCGGGGCCTTGTCTGGGGCAGCCCCTCACCATCCACTGGGCTCTCTCCGGCAGTTGGGTGGCCAGCCCGAGGGGCAGTGAGCTGTGGAGCTCTGCCAAGGTCACTCGGGGTGGCCTGTGAGCCCCCTAGCTCTACCTGCCTCCGACCGGTAATGAGAGGCCTTCCATTATTTTCGGGTGAGTGCCCCTGGCAGATGCCGACAGCCAGCAGATGTGTGAGGTCTGAGGTGATTTGCAAGGGACTGGCTCATGTGCCGCGCGGGTAATTGCACCAGGGACGCTGTCACTCAGGGGCTTGTCCCTGCCCGCCGGGATGAGGTAAAGGTCAGTTCAGAGACCCCCGTGACTCAGGAGGTGGTGCAGACTCCCACCCTCTCGGGGCTGCTGGGGCCTCTGGGGGGTGTGGACGATGACCCGAAGCGGGGCTGGGCCCCCTGGATGCTGCGTCCCTGGGGGTTGCGCATGGGGGCCCTGGCCAGCTGCGCCGGGGCCTGAAGCCCTGCTGGGCTCAAGTTTTCCTGGTATCTGAAGGCAGGCGGCCCAGCCTCCCGGGCCCAGAGCTGTGATGGCGGGCCGAACCCCGCCAGGCCCCTGGCCTGAAGCGGCCTGTCCGAAGCCGGAACGAAGTCCAGGGACGGAGGCGGGAGGGGCGTGCGAACAACAGAAATGATGTCCTTAGTTCTGAAGGCTGGGAGATCCAAGCCAAGCCGTCCACGTGGTCAGTTTCTGAGGAGGCCTCTCTTCCTGGCTGGTGGCCACCACGTGGTCTTCTCGTCTGGGGAGGGAGACACCTGCTGTCTCTTACAAAGACGCTAGCCCTGTGTTGGGGCCTCCCCCCCCCCCCCCGTGACCTCGTCGGCCTTCTCTACCTCCTCAGGGCTCCTGTTTCCAAATGCAGTCACCTTGGGGGTGAGGGCTTCACATATGGATCTGGGGGGCACAGGTCAGTCACAGGTCAGTCCAGAGCATGCACGATCCACTCAGGGTGCCACCTTTGGCGCTCACCATCATCTCACGCTCCGCCCCCAAGCACACTCTGCCTGTGCCCCGCACCCTCCCTGTGTGGCGTCACTCTCCCCTCCGGTGGGTCACAGCGGGGAGCAGAGCTGGGTCCCCGCTCCTGGGCCTCGCAGGGCCGCAGCTCCCTGACCTGCAGAGCTGCTGCCTTCGTGTGTGGGGTGCTGTAAGCCAGGCGAGGCTTCCTGGCTGTGCTTCCTGTGCGCCGGGGCCCGGCAGGCCTCTGCCTCCTGCAGCCGCTTGCTCTTCTCTGGAGTGGGGTGATGGCTCCCGCCTTGTCCACTCGTCACCTGCTAGTGCCCCTGCTCCCTGCGTGTCTGGGGGTTTGTAGGGGACACAGTGTTGGCTCTGCCCTGGGGACTGAGGTCCCAGTTTTCACAAACTGACCCGGACCCTGAGCCCCGAGGCTCGGAGTCGGGTTTTACAGCTCCAGTAATAATGCACATGTATGAATTTCAGTTGTCAAGAAAGATGGAGAGGACGAGGACACGCTCGTGGCGACGTCAGTGGTGGTGATGTGTCGGGAAGGGGCGTCGGGGGGAGACTTCCCAAACATTTCCCACCAGATTTTTCAGGATCTAATTCAATCTCTAAACTAGTAAATTTGGGGGCCTCCCTGGTGGCCTAGGGGTTAAGTCTCAGTGGATCCGCCGGTTCTGCTCCCCGCCGTCTGGTAGATCCTCTCACTCCCACGCCCCGACCTGCACCCCAGCTCCTCTATGTAGTTGGGATCGAAAAGCTCACGTTTTGGGTGAACTCTGGGCGCTCCCACCGCCGTGGCCTCAGCCTCTCGAGGGCTGTGTCCGCTTCTTCGGTGGGCATGTGAAGCCGCGGTCGGAGTAGCAGACGTGAGACACTGTCCTCCACTGTCACACGACTGCTCACTGTTCTGAGAAGGTCACATCATCACTCATTAGCAGTAATCAGTCCCCTGGCTCCCTGCACTTCTTCACTCGACTGCCCCATTAACGGGTGTGAGCCACTCGGCCCGGGCGCCAATCGGCGGAGAGCTGTCCGAGTGTTCGGTGGGTGCTATTAGTTACAATATATTAACTGCCTGATTTAAAAATACAAAAGCTGTCTTTATGAAGGGCAATTAACCACTAAGTGTAATTGATAATTCATAACCCTCCGATTAGGAAAGACAAATACTAAGAGCGGACTGTTCACCTGGGCTGTGGGCGGGCTGCTGGCAGCCCGGGCGTGCGTTCACGCGTGGCCGGAGCAGACGCCGCCCCGTCCACCCAGCGCGCCCTCAGGACGCTCGTGGTAGCTCGGGAAAGCGTGTCGCCGCTGAATTCTGGGCGTTTCTGCTGAAGCTCTGGAGGAGACCGCAGGCTTGGCCTCCCGCAGACGCGTGGGCGGCTGGCCGCAGGGTCGCCCGAGACCCGGCCACGCAGCGGCCCTTGCTGGCGGCCTGCCTTCGCCGGGTCCCGCGCGCAGGCTCCGGAGGCCGGGACCCCAGCAGACCCCGACTCCTGCCTCATGGAGCACAGGGAGACAGCAGCTACACAACACGGGGACTGGCAGCGTCGCTGAGTGTGGCCAGAGAGAAAGCCACAAGCCGCGGGGGTGGGGGGGCAGCAGGCGCCGTGGGGGCGAGGGGGCAGAGCCTCAGCGGCCGTCATCGCCGAGGAGGGCCTGCAGCCCCTCGTCCCCGAGGGCGCTGGTGTCCTCCCGCTCTGGCCCTCCCCGCAGGGACCTTCCTCTCCAGCCTCCTTCTCCAGCTCCAGGGGCCAGGGGCGGGGCCGATGCAGCTGCTGCTCCCGTGCCCCGCCCACTCTCCCAGCCAGCTCCTTGGCCTCTGCGGGGCCTCCAGGGGGCCCCGGTCTTCTCTCAGACCTCAGTGTGGACGACCACGCTGTCTCCTCTGGACCCCTGCCCTGCGGGCTCTCTGGGCGGCTGTGGTGCGCGAGACTCCACAGACAGCCCAGGGTCCCTGTCCGGCCAGAGAGGAAACGGCCACATTCCCCACCCCAGCGCCGGGAGCAGAGCGCTCGGCCTCCCGAGCCGCCGCGTGCCGTGCGCACACAGCCTGGTCGTCGGCAGGCTGAGGTGGAGGCCCCTTCTCGGTGGGCCTCCCGCAGCCCGGTGGAGGTTGATGCCAAGCCCGAGTATCTGTGTGTTATACCTGGACGTGGGGCCGCATCGGTAGACACGAACTCAGGCCACGCGCCGGCCGTGCGCAGGTATTCACTCATCAGTAGCAAATCACGCACAGAGCACTGTTGAGGCCGCTGGTGGCTGCCGGCGCGCCGTGGCGGTGACGGCGTGGCCTCTCGGTCTTTGCGCTGGTTGGGAACATGGATGCGGAGTCAGTCGCACACACAGTGGCTGAGGATGCCAGCGGAGGTGCCAAGGGTAGAAAGGCCCAGAGAAATTGTCAGAGGGGACCTTAGCCGGGGGAACAGGGGGGCGAAGTGGGGCGGGTGCGGGTGTGGGCCCCCCCGTGGGAGAACAGCGACCCCAGAAAGCCGCACGTCCCAGGGCAGGGAGGGTGTGGGCAAAGGGAGGTGGGAACCTCGCAGCCCCTCAGGCGTGTCAGCTCGGTGAGGATGCAGACACCCACCTGGGTCCCCAGACGAGGCCCAGCCCCTGAGCCGAGCACCCTGGGCCAGTCAGGGCCACAGCCGGCGCCCGGGGACCCGCCGCCCCTCCCGGGACATCGCTGGCCCTCGTTGCTGACGGCACCCTGGCCTTGTGCTCTCCGCAGGCTGAAGCGGTCCGGGCTGAAGGTTAGGTTCTGCACCAACGAGTCGCAGAAGTCCCGGCGGGACCTGGTGCAGCTGCTGCGGCGCCTGGGCTTCGACATCGCCGAGGGAGAGGTGACGGCCCCCGCCCCGGCCACCTGCCTGATCCTGCGGCAGCGGGGCCTGCGGCCACACCTGCTCGTCCACGATGGTGAGCCTGGCTCCCGGGCCGGTGCCCCTCTGCGTGGGCCCGGGGGAGAGGAGGGTGTCCAGGCCACTCTCATCCGGGCCAAGCCGTTGGGAGGTCACAGCTTGGCAGCTGGCAGCTGGCGGGTGGGAACCCGGGGGCGTGAGGGCCATCGAGGCGGGGTCCAGGTGAGTCCTGAGAGGAGGGCAGCGGCAGCAGCGTGAGTGTGGCGCGTGAGTCCTGAGCCCTGGCTGTATCTGTGAAAGTCAGCCCTGCTCCCCGGCAAAGGGAGCGAGTCACAGGGCGCCATCTAACTGCAAGTCCCTTTGCCCTTCAGCAGAGAGTTTTTCTGGTCTGAAGCGGAAGGAGCTGTGACAGCTGCTAGCTGATAAATATTTAAAAAGAAGCCACACGGGGCCCTCCCTGGTAGTGCAGCGGGTTAAAGCGCAGCACTGAGAATCTAGAGCCGCTTCCGCATGAGTTCGATTCCCGCCTGCCCCGGAGGTGACCCCATGGCGCGGCAGACCTCTCCTGACCCGCCCGCTGCTCCCCTCAGCAGTGCTTCGTCGATCTGCCTGTTCTGCTCCCCACTCTGTCTCTGGTGAAGTCTTTCACCGCCCCTGAGTCTCTGGCCTGTACCCCAGTTCTGTATGCACAAATAAATAAATCTTAAAAAAAAAAAAAAAAAGAAGCGACACGGGGCCCTCCCTGGCGATGCAGTGGGTTAGAGCGCAGCACTGAGAAGCTGAAGCCACTGCAGCACAACTTTGATCCCCACCCCGGAGGTGACCACAGGGCGTGGCGGACCCCTCCTGACCCGCCCGCTGCTCCCCTCAGCAGTGTACCTCGTCATTCGACCTGTTCTGCTCCCTGCTTTGTCTCTGGTGAAGCTTCTCACCCCCCTGCACCTCTGGCCTGTACCCTAGTTCTGTAAGAATAACTCTTTTAAAAAAAAAATGAAGGGGCGCGGTGGTACATCCAAATTCAGGACACCTCCAAAGAGCAAAAAAAAAAACAAAAAACAACCAAAAACTGACTACACCCCAAAACAAGAAGCTCGGGACACCTGTCTTCCGTGGGCCTTCTTCCTTCCTCTGCTCTAGATGTTTCCTTTGACGGCCCCGGCAGCGGCGAGCCTGCTTTCTCCCTCTGGCAGCAGGGGTGCCCGCAGGGCAGGCTGCTGCTGTCCTGGCGCCCGAGTCAGCATGCGCCTTCTGCTCCCTGCGCCACCCCCCAGCCCCCACCCCGTGCTCGGCTGGGTGCTGGCGCCCGGACCTGCAGCGCCAGCGCACAGAGCAGCGTCTTTCCCTGCCTCTAGCAGTCTGTGTGCTGCTCACAGGCTGCCCTTCTGTTGCACAGTTCTGGCTTCCTGCCCGTGGGGTTACAGTAGGGGAGCGCCTGCAGCAAGCGCTGGTGCTGGGGCTGGGTTTTAGGGGTCCCCCAACAAGCTAACTGTGGGGAGCTGGACACCTTTCGCCTGTAAATCGTGAGAGCACCATTCCTGGCCCACCGCCCATGGCAGCTGAGGACCGAAAAGAGCTCGTGCCCTGAGAAGGGACAGTGCAGAGGGCAGGGGCCCCGCGGGCAGGGGCCACGCGGGCAGGGGCCACGCGGCAGGGGCCACGCGGGCAGGGGCCACGCGGGCAGGGGCCCCGCGGGTAGGGGCCACGCGGCAGGGGCCACGTGGGCAGGGACCACGCGGAAGGGGCCACGCGGCAGGGGCCCTGCAGGCAGGGGTTTGACCTCTCTGTGCCCTTGCAGGAATCCGCTCGGAATTCGACCAGATCGACACGTCCAACCCAAACTGTGTTGTGATCGCAGATGCCGGAGACGGGTTCTCTTACCAGAACATGAACAGAGCCTTCCAGCTGCTCATGCAGCTGGACAAGCCCGTGCTCATATCGCTGGGGAAAGGGTAAGTCGCCCCCGAGAGCGTTTCTGCGGTCTGTGATCTCGGCCTGCGGAGCGGAAGCCCTCCTGCCCTGGCTCACCCGGGTTTTTCTCCTCACTTCTTCCTGTGGAGGTCAGTCTCCAGCTCAGGAGCTGCGCCCCAGGCGCCAGGGAAGGCCGTGGCTGACAGAGGCCTCTCGGGGCGTCGTGTGTCGAGCATCCCAGGTGGGGGTGCATTTGCCCAGGATGCAGCACCAGGCACTGAGGGGCGGTGCCAGGTGACGCCTCAGCAGTGAGACCCGGGCCGCGGGCCCCCGAGCCGGGTCTGTACACTGTGACGTTTCTGCCTGTGCTTTTACTGATGGCGTCACTGTTTCCTGTCACAGACCCAGTGGGGTTTTTGACACTGTTGAAAAAGAAAGAACTGTCAGAGCCTTTCTTTGCGCTCAGCCCTGTAATTCCGCAGCAAACTCGGCAGGAGGCGAGGTGCGTTTTGCCAGTGAGGCTGGTGGTGTCTGTAGCCGGGGGGTCCTGGCCGGGCTGGCGCGGTGCTCAGAGCGGGGTCACAGCCCGAGGGACAGCCGAGGACCCTGGCCGCTCTGCTTTCTTCTCCGCTCGGCAGTCGAGGGAGGTGAGGGCCCGCCAGTGTCCCCCAGAGGCAGGAGGGAGGAGGCGCGGGCAGAGTGTCCTCCTGGAAATGGAGTGATTTACATTTGGCATCTGTTGGGACCGAGAGTGGGAATTGCCTCTGTAATTTCTTCTGTCATGCTGCCGTCAGAAAATTAAGCTGTTTACGCGACAGACGATGGAAGGTTAATGGCTCTTGTGGGAAAGGTCAGGTGGTTATTTGGAGGGAGGCCGCGCTGAGTAACCGGGAAGGGCGGAAGAATCAAGCATGACAGCTCGGGACTGTGCTCCCTGGCTCTTCCCTGCCGTCCGGATCCAGCTTCTGCTCGGGGCTGGAGCCGCAGATTCCCCCAGGCCTGCTTGCCGGAGTCGGGTCGGCGCACATCTAGCATCTAGCAAATCTCCTGTGGCTTGAGAATAACCTGGCTTGTACTGAATTAAAAAAAATTAACCTAGGGCTTTGTATGTACTCCATCTCTCTCTCTCTCACTCTCTCTCTCTTAAAGATGTATTTATTTGTGCGTGCAGAGCTGGGGTACAGGCCAGAGGGGCAGGGGTGGTGAGAAAGTTCACCAGAGACAGAGCTGGGAGCAGAACAGGCCGACTGACTGAAGCACACTGCTGGGGGGTGCAGCGGGCGGGTCAGGAGAGGTCTGCCCCGCCCTGGGGGTCAGCTCCTGGCGGGGATCAAACTCTGGCTGCAGTGTCTTTAGCTTCTCAGTGCTGCACTTTAACCTGCTGCGCCACCAGAGAGGGCCCTCCATCTCTTTCTCTCTCTTTTTTAAAGATTTATTTATTTATACATACAGAACTGGGACACAGGCCAGGGGTGCAGGGGGGTGAGAGGCTTCCCCAGAGACAGAGCGGGGAGCAGAACAGGCAGATGGACAAAGTCCACTGCTGAGGGGAGCAGCGGGGAGACAGGAGAGTTCTGCTGCGCCCTGTGGGTCACTCCCTGGCCGGGGGTCCAACGCTCACTGAAGCGGCTGCGGCCAGCCTCGCAGGGCTGCGCTTTAACCCGTTGCGCCACCAGGGAGGCACTGTGTGTACCCCATCTTTAAAAGTGTTTCAGCTAACGAGGGCCTCCACGTGCCCCTTTATTCCCCTGAAAGAATAAGAAACCAAGACAAATTCCCAGTACCAGAGTAAGCCCAGACTCAGTGGTAAAGAAATCTCGAGCTTTCTACTTTGGCACTGCAGAAGTCGTCGCTTGCTGTGCTTCTGCACCGGGCGTAACGCAGGGTAGCCTGGGGCTGGGCTCGTTCCTTCCCTCGGGACTAACAGTGACTGCGAGCGGGCAGGTTGCTGTCGCTCAGAGGAGAGCTGTGGGGACTAGGACTCTGATGACCGCACTCTGGCGGCCCAGGGTGCTGAAACTGGGCGTCGGGCCAGTGGCCCCCAGAATCCTCAGCTCCTGTCACAACAGAGGAGCTTTGTGGTTTTATTTGTGCCTTTGGTCTGGGGGAGCACGTCCTTTGCTGGCGGGTTCGCTCCCCACCGCTGCCGGCCGGGGCCCTCCCCGAACCCTCTCCCTGCCTGTCTGGGCTGGCACTGCCCACCCCCAGCATCACCAGGGTGCAGGTGCAGTTTGCCCCCAGATGAGGGGATGAAGGAGGTGGGGGCTGGGCATGTCACAGAGGTCCAGACAGCGCGCAGCCTGGCACGTTGTCCTCCTCCCCCGTGGCGGTGGCTCCTCACCCTTCAAGGCTCAGCTGTGCTACCTCCTTCTCGAGGACCCCCGTGTCCCCCAGCTGGGCATCCTTAAGCGCACAGCGTGGCTGCCCTGGCCACCGCCTGTGTCCTCCCTCTTGCGGGCTCCCACCAGCCTGGCTTGGAGCACCCGGGTCTCTAGGGGCCTGGGGCAGCTGTGTCGCTGATGGGGGGGGGCTGGATGACAGACACTGGCAGGCCCGGCAGCCGCCACTCCGCTCCCTGGGGCCACAGTCCCACGTGTGTCACCTTCGCCGTTTCCTTCCACCTTGGGCCTCGTGCTGAAGTCTCCCTGCGAGGGCTCGAGCTGGAGAGGAGGCAGTTTCAATGTCGTGTTCTGAGAGGTCAGGCCGGCCGGCATGAGGTGGAGCTTGGGCCCAGCGAGTGCCCAGAGCCTCCAGGAAGGGAGCCGGCGAGGATGCGCTTTCCCGGCAAGAGCAGCTGGCCCCCGGCCGCCTGGCGCCTCTCACCTCTGGCTAGTGCGAGATGTGGCAGGGCGCTGTGGAACTAATGGGGTTTTCTTCCTCACACAGCAGTTAGGGGTTAATTATTAGCAGCTAGGGGTTCACCACATGTTGGTGGACCTGCTGTCCTTTTCCAGAACACAGGCCACTTGTTTTCTCTGTGTGAGCAGCTGTGTGCCTGAGTCCCCGTCCATCACCGACAGGGGCCCCGGGGCTGGCGGCGTCCTCACGGAGCTGCTGGCTGCTGTCCTTCCCGCCCGCCTGGCCGTGGTGGCCTGCCGCTGGACTCAGCGTCGGGAGGGCAGCGTCCCCCGCCCATGCAGGCCGGCAGGCTGCTGGCCTCCGCTCACCTGCCCACTCCCGTTCTTTTCTAGGCGCTACTACAAGGAGACCTCTGGCCTGATGCTGGACGTCGGGGCCTACATGAAGGCTCTCGAGGTACCTGCCCTGACGGTGTCCCCACCCGCCCTCCTCAGCCTCAGCACCTTCAGGGATGTTTCTGGCCTTTGTGGAGAAGGGGGTGGCTGGTGTGCTCGGTCCGGGTTGGCTTTTTTCTTCCAAAGTTGCCCTTCCCTTTGGGGGTCAGCCTGAGCACCCCTGGCTTCTGGAGAGATGTCCCTCTGCTGCCCGGCCTTCGCCCTGCCCTCCTGTCCCTCCCACGCCTCCCCGGGCCCGGCCTGCTCCTGGGCTCCCCGCTGCATGTGCACCACCACCCTTCCTGCCCACCCGCAGTGCCTCGAGCTTGCCTCGTCCTGACTGGACTCCTCTGAGACCCTCTGCTCCAGTTTCCAAGGCCCAGGTGGGGCTCCCCAGTCCGCATGCTGACGGGCCCACGTGGCGCCCAGGCCGAGACCTGCCCGCGCTCAGCCCGTGCCGCCCACCTCACTGCGGTGTTGGCTGCTGCCGACCTGCTCTGGTGACAGACAGATGGCGCAGGGAACGCTGGCCAAGCTGAGGGCTGGCATGGACCTGGGGGGCAGGCGTGCAGACGCGAGCCTGGCGGGGGGGCCCCACTAGCTGTACTCCTGGGCCCTGGGGGCACGGGCGTCCCCAGAGGAGACTTGCAGTTGGGGCGACACTGTCACGTGCCCCCAATCCACGTGAGCCCTCTCTCTCCCCAGTATGCCTGCGGCATTGAGGCCCAAGTGGTGGGGAAGCCTTCTCCTGAGTTCTTCAAGTCTGCCCTGCAAGAGATTGGGGTGGCAGCCCACCAGGTAGGGGCGCCCCTTGTGGAGGCTCTGTCGGGTCCGGGACTGGGAGGGTCGAAGGCTCAGGCGGGGGCAGCCTGGGGTAGAGGTGGGTTGGAGGGTTCCGAGACCGGGGAGTTGCCGGACAGCCGAGGGTCACCCCGCCCCACGTGACCCCGTGTGCCCGGAAAGGGGAAAAGGCTGCAAACCAGCCGACCGATGTCCTAGCCCGCCGGGGGAGGGGTGAGACTCGAGTGGAAACCCGCAGTGGCCAGGCCCGTCGGCGGACTGCTTGGCTTCCCGGAGAGCAGTCTGCAGCAGAGTGGGAACCCGCTTGTACCCTCAGCGTCCACAGCACCCCCAGTTCATGAGGTGGTGGGTCAGGACCCCCCACTGGGCCTGCCGTCCACCCAAAGCCCACCCGGGGCCTGTTCGCTCCTGGCCGGGGGCGTGGCCGCATCGCGTGGCCGCATCGCGTGGCCTCATCGCGTGGCCAGGCTGATGTCTGCAGATCCCACGCCCCTGCTGCCGGCCCCACGGAGCCAGGGTTCCTGCCCTAGATTCATGGATGCCAGGAGCCTCTGGGCCCCCGGGAAACCCCGGGGGGCCACAGGGGCTGGGCGAGGAGGCACGGCTGTGTGCTGAACGAATCAAGACCCCAGGAGCAAATAACCTGGGTTTTCACCACCTGACCTCATGGGGCAGGACTCCCTGTTAGTTTTTTACTATTCTCAGCTTCAAGATGGGAATTATTTCTCTCTTTTTTAAATTGTGTTTCAGCATTCCAACACTGTGTGGTTAAGGGGTACAGGTTCCCACTTCTTCAGCTGTTACCACACGCACCACCAGAGCCCCCTTCATCCTCCATGACAGCCCACTGTCCCCCTGCCCCCGGCTCCCCCCTCCCCGAGAGCTTCAATTCTTTAGGCAGATTTCTAGGGTTGGGCTGGTTTGGTTTTTTATTTTCTTTATTTCTGCATAGAAGAACTGGGGTACAGGCCAGAGGTGCAGGGTTGAGAGGAGTCACCAGACACAGTGGGGGGCACAACAGGCAGATCCGCTCAAACACCCTGCTGAGGGGAGCAGTGGGGAGAGGAGAGAGGAGAGGCCTGCTGCGCCCCGAGGGTCACTCCCTGCCTGGGATGGCACTCAGGCTGCCACGTGGGCCTTCACGGTGGACTAACCCCTAGGAAGGCCCTGACCACCCCACTTTAAAAAACTATTTTTAACTTTTCATTTTGAAATAATTTCCGACTTACAAGAAGGTTGCAAACGTGGTGCAGATTTCCCCTTCTGCCCTAGTTCCACCTTACGTCATGAGGAACAGTCGCGAGCCGGGAAGCGGCCTGACGCAAGGCGGGGAGCCGAGGGGGAGCCCCCCGCCCTGGGCTGCCTGGAACTGGCCGGCACAGGGCGGGAGGCTGACCGCGGGCCCACGCCAGCGTTCCGTCTCGTGTTCGCTGTGCACCCCCCCTCCCCCCCCGAGACTTTCTGCCAGAAGGGCGCTGGCTGCCAGGACCCCTGCTCTGGGGCAGGCAGGCCGCTGGCAGGAGGCTCTGGGGACTGTACTGTCCAGTTTGGGGAACTTGGAGTTTAGCGTTAGGTTTATTTCCAAAATCATATTTCGCTGGTGCCAGGGTGAAGCCACCAGAGGCGCTGCTTCTGAGGAGGTCTGGCTGCCTCTGAGGAGGTCTGGCTGCCTCTGAGGAGGTCTGGCTGCCTCTGAGGAGGTCTGGCTGCCTCTGAGGAGGTCTGGCTCTGTGCTGCCTCTGCCCTCCGGTCCTGGCCGACAGCCGTGTGTGTCGCGTATAGCTTCTCTCTCCGCCTTTGAATACAAGCAGTGTGCATATCCTACTCTCAGAATGAGCTTTAAGAGAGAAGACTTCTTTAAAAAAAAGAAAGATTATTTATTTGTGCCTTTCAGAACCGGGGTGCAGGCCAGAGGTGCGGGGGTGAGAGGCTTCCCCAGAGACAGAGCGGGGAGCAGAACAGGCCAACTGACCAAACACATGGCTGAGGGGAGCAGCGGGCGGACAGGAGAGGTCTGCGGCCCCGTGGGTCACTCCCTGGCTGGTGGTCAGACTCTTGCTGCAGTGCTGCGCTTTAACCTTTGCGCCACCAGGAAGCGCCCGAGAGAACAAATTCTCCAGGTGGCCTGTCGTGGAGCAGGAACTGGCCGCTGTGAACGCGAGTGACAAGCACCAGCATTTCGCCCGACCCCAGCGGATGATGCCTTGAGCAGCCCTACCCCCAACAGAGCAGAACAGCTGTCTCTGCCTGGACAGACAGGCCCGAGGCTGGCCAGCGCCGTGTCCTCCTTGGCTGCATTCCGGTGCCTCTCGGCTGGCTCCTTCCTCCCGTTTTTTCATTTGGGGCATTTTCCAGTTACTAGCCGTCGCTACCTTCCACGCTTGGCAGGAGCGGCTGCCCTCCCACACCCGGGAGAGCAGAGGCCTTGCAGGTCAGGTTAACTTGGGCTTCTCTTCCGGCAGGAGCCAGGGCTGAGGGTGCGGGGGCCGTCCCCTGGCCCTCCTGTCTGCTGAGGCGATGGCCACTGCCCAGTGGCCCCCCCTGCCCTGGGGTTGCGGGAGCTGTTTTCTCTGGTGGCTCCAGCCCGTGTGGCCGAGCAGATTCCTGTTTACCTCCCTCATTGTCATTCTGTCTCTCGCCTGCGCATCCTCTCGCCCCTGACAGGCCGCTGAGTGGCCGCCGGGCTCTTCATCAGCCTCACGGCCGTGTTTGCAAACGTTCATTACTGTGGGGGCCGCAGGGCGCCAGGGTCGCAGGGCGGTCTTGCAGAAGCAGGCCGTTTCGATGGGCCAAGCTGGACGCACAGGCAACACTTCTCTGTTCCTGCTGCTTTATTTTTAATGAAAAATGCCTGTGAGGAGCGATTTGGCTGCTGAAGTGGCAGGCAGTAGCCTGCCTTAAATTTTTCAGACGGCTTTAATCAATAAAGTTATCACCAGTCATTTCCCTTGATAACCGCCTCTGCCCAGACCAGGGTTGGCTTCTCGCTGCCAGGACTTCTCAGCCTGCGCTCAGAATGGATGGGGCTCCCCAAATCCAATTTCATTTTAACCTTCCTTCAATAGCCTAGAAATAACGCGTTGCTGGCATTTCTCTAATGGACGGGAAATTCAAGCCTCTTAGAGCAGCCGAGCCCTTTCTGGGACCAGTAATAAGGCAAAGAATAACACGCCTTAAACGTTCCTTCTAGAAATACCTAATTCTCATGGGGTGGCCTTCTGCACCGGTGGGCGGTTTTATAGCTTCATGCTGAAGACTGATGACAAGACTGTTCGAGCACTTTCTGGAATCCTGAGATGGCCCGGCAGTGGCGTGCAGGTTTAACGGGAATGAGCACGCTTGTGGCCAGCGCGTTGAGCTCCGGAGCCGGGAGCTGGAGCACCGACCCAGCGCAGAAGCCCGAGGCTCGGGCCGCAGCGCCCTCTGTGACGGCACACCCGGGCGCTGCCCACACCTTGTTTCACGGGCCCCTGCCCCAGGCCTTTGTCACGGGCACCTCATTTCACCTTGAGGCAGGGCAGGACTTCGCGGTCCAGCTCTATCTATTGACATTGGGGTCAGAGCATGGTGCATCACCTGTCCATGCATTGTAGGGTGCTTAGCAGCACCCCTTTTTCAACTTGTGAAACTGCAGGTATATCCCGGCATCACCAGACTCCCCCCACCACCCCTAGCATTAAAGGAATAGTCAGTGACAAGTCTACTACCGAGTCCGACATTAATTACTCTGCTGACGGGGAGCTAAACGGGGAACAGTCCTCTCCAGGTCTCTGCTGTGCCCCAGTGTCGAGCCCCCACAGCATGCCAGAATTTTTAGGTTTGGAAAATAAAGTTTGAGGTGGCATATTTAGTTAGTTAATTATTTTTTATTTTTTTTAAGATTATTTATGCATACAGAACTGGGGTTCATGCCAGAGGTGTAGGGGTGGTGAGAGGGTTCACCAGAGACAGAGCGGGGAGCAGAACAGGCGGACTGACGAGGCACACTGCCTAGGGCAGCAGTGGGCGGGTCAGGAGAGGTCTGCTGGCCATGTGGGTCACTCCCTGGTTGGGGGTCGAACTCAGGCCGCCGTGGCTGGTGAGAGCTTCATAGTGCTGAGACAGCCCCTGCGCCAGGTGGGAGCCCCATGGTAGCGTGTTTAGCAGTACATTGTCAGCACATTATCACTTTCTATTTTGAAAAGTATTAGAGTTTCTATTTCTAATGACTTTCTCCATTAATATTCTCTTGGAAACAATTTCCTTCGTGCTCATTTAAACACTTTTGCCCAGTCGTTCTCATGGCTCTGTAGTGTTCTCACACGGACGTGCGTCGTGTTCACGAGCCTTGCCCTGTGGTTGGGCATGTGGGTAGCTCCCCGCCTGTGGGTAACCCTGGCAGCGCCCGCGAAGTCCTCGTCCTGTGCACGTCGACTCGGCCCTCCTGGCGGCCGCTCACTGCCCGTCAGCGGGAGCCTGTCTCTCACTGTACTGCGGGAAGAGCGCCAGCTCACCCCCCGACCGGCTGTGTGCAGCCGCTCATGTCCCTTGTTTCTCTTTATAAAACACAACCAGGCATCGCTTAGTGATGGGGATGAACGATGCCTTTGTTGTTCAGACACCAGAGGATGAGTGAGACACACCTAGATGAGGCGGCCTGCTACACAGCTGGGCTGCCAGCCCTCGGGGAAGTCACTTATTCGTGAGCCATCTCCGGTTTTCTGGGGGCCTGGGTCCCGCTGCGCCTGCAGGCTGAAGGTGTGGGCTATCCCCGTGTTGGACGTTACCTGCAGGTCTCCCCACCTGTGAGGTACCTCGAGGCCCGCACCAGGGGCTGAGCCCGCTGCCCCTGTGCTGCTGGCCGGGTCCCGGATTATCTAGAAAATTCCTGCCACCTGGGCTCTTCTGGGAAAGCCCTCTGACCCTGGAAGCTTGCGCTCCCGGACATTTCTGCCTGTTAGGTTCTCCCCCTGGCACCTAGGATGCGTCCGGCAGGCAGAAGAATGTTCATGACGGATGAGTGAGTCTGCATTTTGCCTCCAAACCAGAAAGTCTGCCCAGAGGGTGGCGGTGCCCCCAGCCCCCCAGCCCCTGTGCTGGGGGGAGCCCCTCCACGTCTCCAGGGTCACTTTACCATATTGCAGTCAGAAGGGAAGTGAGACTAGGTCTGACAGGTGGGGTTTCCTTATTTCCCCTGACAGCGGACCTCTTGGCCTCGATCTTCTTGCCAATGATTTTTTAAATCCTAAATGATTTGGCAATAATTGCTCCTCCTTGCGTGATTATTGCCCTTCACCGATAGTAAATCTGTGCAATCCCCAGGGGCCCAAGTGCATTTTGGTATGCGGAGCCCACAAGCTGGCCAGACAGGCATCGCTGCTCCGGGCAGCCGCCGCAGATCCTCTCCGCCCTCTCGAGGCCTCGCGGCTCCGCCAGGCTCAGGCCGGGGTTCAGTGGGCAGGAGCGCAAGGGCGCTCGGAGGGGTCGGAGGCGCCCCCGGGCCGGACTCCCCTGCTGCCCCCCAGCCACTGCTGGGGGTGTGCCTGCGTCTGTGCGTGTGCAGGGTTGTGGGTGCACCCCCGTGTGTGCAAGCAAAACTCTGTCTCCCCCGAAGACGGCCCCTGGGCCCTCCGGCACAGCCGTCGAGGCCCTCCGCGGGAGCCCTGACCGAGGGTTTCGAGGCCGACCTGCTGCCCCCGAGCAGGGCCAAGTAGGGGGTCCTGGCACGGGCCGGGTCCTGGGGCCCGCGCCCACCCAGCACCCACTTCTCCAGGTGGGGGGCCGCGAGCAGCCCGGCTGAGCCCGGTTTATAGGCCCCTCTGGGGTCACCTGTGCGTGCGTCGAGCGCCGCGGTGTCCTGCCTCAGCTTGTTGCCACCAGCCTGGTCTTTGGTGATTGTGATTTGCACACGGTCGCTGGATGGCCGCAAACGTGAAACCCGCTTGCACCGGGCAGGAAGCCCCCCCATTCATCCTAGAAAAACCAATTCCGGCCTTTCCCCTGCCTGGGTACTGGCCTCCGGCACTGCTGTTGTTCCTGAAGTTGCTTCAACTCTTGAATTTGAATGTGGGCTCGCATGCCCGCCTGAGCGTGCTAGTCTGTGTGCGTGTGTGTGTTGTGAGCGTGCACCTTTGTCCGCATATGACTTCATTTCCTGCAGGAAGCACCCCCCTTTCTGAAGGCAGAATCGTGTAAACGGCGGGCCAGCCAGGCTTGCTGGGTCTGCGTGGCCGGGGTGGGCAGCGCAGCCTGCCTGCAGGGCCTGTCGCCGAGGGCGGGCTCGGCGCGGTCCCGTGCGAGGGGGCCGCCCGCCGCCCCGTGGCCACGCCACCTGGACGCCTGCTGCCGGGCGAGTTCGGGTGGCCCCGGGCCCCTCACCCTGGGGGCAGCGGGAGGCAGGCCCGCGCGGGGCTGCCCTGGTAAGCGTGGATGTGCGCTTTAAGCGGGAAACCAAGCAGTTTGCGGTGCCAGGGGGCGGCCCAGTGCGGCTCTCCTGCCCCAACGGTGCGTTCCCTTCGCGACAGGCCGTGATGATCGGAGACGACATCGTGGGCGACGTGGGCGGAGCGCAGCAGTGCGGGATGCGAGCCCTGCAGGTGCGGACCGGGAAGTTCAGGTGAGCGGCCGCGGCCGGGCCCCCGCTGCCCGGCTCTGGATCCCGGGCGGTGGCGCCTTCATTTTGCGCCTCAGAACAAGGGGAGTGTTCTCTCCAAGAGGGCTAGTGGACGTTGGCTGACTTTGATGTCCCTGCTCCCTGAGGGTGAAGTCGCCGGCCTTTGTCACAGACAGTGGAAGAGAAGGCAGCGGGGTGCAGGGCCGAGCCTTGGGGCTGGGTGTGGGCAGGCCTCGTGCAGAGCCCGTTGGCCGGTGCAGGGCAGCCCCGAGGTGAGCGGGGCCGAGTTCCGGCTTGTCCTGTGGTCTGTGCAGTGAGCCTCGGTTGCCTGGCGGTGACCGCAGTCCGCGGACATTCGGCCCTTCGGTCATGCTTCTGGTGCTTTTCGCCGCGGCCTCTAGGGGACAGAGAACCCAGGGAGGCCGATCCTGCCCAAGGGTGGGTCTGCGCGCTTGGGGACCAAACCCCGTCCCCAGAGGGGCTTGGGCTGCTCTGCTGGCCGCCAGGCGGGTCGCTGCTGGGCACCCGCTGGGCGTCCAGCACTTGCGGGTCTGGATGTGCCCCGTGGTGATCAGGTCTGGCTGGTGCTGCTGTGGGAGCGACTTAGGCAACAGAGTGCTGTCTTGCCTTATTCTAGACCTTTCGATGGTGCCCATTCAGAGAGGGTGCAGTGCTGGTGTTGAAGAGACTTGGTTAAAAAGCATGGTTACCCGTGGCGTCCTCGCAGGGGGGTGTTATGTCCATGAGTGGGAACAAAATTATTTTGCACAGCGCTTCTTCTGGCTTCTTGGGGGAGAAGACATCTCACCCCATCAGATACAGCCTCAGCTAGGGTCTTCTTGCTAGTCCAGCTGCGTCCCGTAAGCCGGGGACATGCTGAGAGGCCCACGTGAGCGTCTCAGTGCCTGGGTCTCTGAGAAGGTTTGCACGCACCATCAGCAGCTCAGGAACACACAGGTGTGCCCCGCCGGAAGCCACCAGGGCTGCACTCTCCAGAGTCCCCAAGTTTGGGACAGATGAATCCCACTGACGGGTGGCCGATGGACCACTGTCTCTGAATGACACGGGCTAACATTTTAGCTTTTCCTCTTTCAAAAATGAGATGATG